AAAAAAAAAAAAAAAATCAAATTCCGTCACATGGAAATAAGTCTTTTTTTTTTTCGAAACGATAGAATTACTTAAATAAATCAATCCAAAGTTTGAATACAAGACGGACCAAGTCAAAGGCTCAAAATGTGTGCAAAGATATTCAAAACTAAATCAGACATTGGGTGGACAAAATCTACCCCAACTAACTAGTGTCAGGTTGAAGTTTCATTCGAACACATGCATATTTGGATTAATTTAAACAAAAATTTGTAACGTGATTTGTATGAAAATATCTCTTCATTCATTTTTCCTGAAAAAACTATGGGCGTAGAAATATCAAATATCAATATATTTTTTTTAAAAAAAATATATATCATTTTCTTGAGACGATTTAAAGGTTCAATCATTGTATTTTATTTATTTATTTATTTATTTTTTGTAAAAATGCATATTTATGCTATTTTTTAGTAATATACTTCGGTTTGAAAATATGCATATTTGTTGAAAATGTACATTTTTCCAAGTATAGGGTATTGTCAGCAATAAAAATTACGTTTTCAAATTTTTTTCTATTGATCGTGAGCTCAACTAAACTCAGGGGCGGATCTAGGAAATAAATTTAAAGGCGCTAAAGCGGTTATTGGAACTGAATTGTGTTTGTTCAACTCGTGAAAGTTTAATCTCAAATCATTATATATTTAAATGAGTCAAACTAGAACGATTATTCAAATTTTCTTATTAAACAAGTAGAGTATAGTGATGCTTACACCGGCGGAATTTGAGCTCATTTTTTCGTTTATTTATTTAATAGTCGTGATCCGACTCATTTATTAAATTATCATAAGCTTAAACATGAGTTATTCAACTTGACTCAGCACGAATAACATTTCGTGAGGACTATATAATCTTTTATCTCTCTCTCTCTCTCACCCACACACATATAGGCGTAAAATTGTATTTTAAAATAGTTAATAAGCTGCACTAAAAAAGATATAACTTCTTAATTTTGGTAGTTTAAATGCTCAACATTCTTTATACTCATAAAACTCATTGATGATTAGCTGGATATTAACACAAATGTTATAATTGATAGGCTGGCTAATTGTTAGACATATATATTTTCCTGCAAAAAAAACATTATTATACTATCAAATGTCATATTTTTATTTGTATTGCACTACAAAGTATGAAAGATTAAATATATTTGTGGGAATAGTGTGGTTGATTAACTATTAAGTAGCCAAGAGAAGATCTAGCGCGGTATTAAAAATTTTAGCAATTCAATTTTGAACCATTGAATTGTATATGTTGCATGTTCTTTTATTCCAAATTGACTCTTTAACTTTTAAATATTACATAAGATCAACGTGAAATATTATAAAACAATGTTGATAGGGTACTTACAAAAATATGATGAAGTTAACACTAATTACTAATTAGTAAATAAACTTATACAATAATTTGTAATAATTATGGAAATGCATATAAGTTGAATATGCTTTATATACTTTTAATCTATATATTTATATATATATATATACATTAAAAATTATAAATCTTAGAATATATATACATATATATATATATATACATGTATTAGGCAAAATTAAATGGTGTGTTTATTCAACTTTATTCATTCCATTTTATCTTACCTTTCACATAATATATTCTTAATAAACATTAAATTTGCTTATATAATTTTAAATTATTTACATCAATAAATACTATTAATATAAATATTTATCACTAGATAAAAAATAAAATTACTTCTATAAGTGTTACAAATAATGATGACATTATACGACAATAAATTTTTAAATAAAATAATATTTGAGTATTATGATAAACCAAAGTATGTAAAATTATTATTTTTTTTATATTAAAAAATAAATTTATATGTTAAAATATTATTTATGTTAATATAAATGGGTTAGCGGGTTAATATATTATTAAAATAAAGTTTTGAAGAAAATGTTCTAAAATGCGAAACCGTGCATCGTACGGGATTCTCACTAGTTGAAACATAATCAGAAGAGATTTAGTTAAAAATAAATTATTACTTATATATAGATTAATAATATTGAGATGAAGAAAATATAGAATAAAAATTGTCTATTGAAGAAATTGAGATAAATTTGAGATTAAAATTTAAAATTTGACAAAATTTGACACCAACAACAATCATGAGGTTGAAGTTTCATTTGACCGCATGCGTATTTGGGTTCAATTTCAACATAAATTGTGTCTATTTTTCCTCTTTCAAATTTAATTTGTTTGAAAATATCTCTTCAAAAGATCACTATATTTTCAAAAAAGCCTTGTCACGTTTTCGCATTTCAATATTTCACGTACTTTTCAAAAGTGAAATCATATATATGGTTTTGCTCACCTACCCACGGTGGGCAGTGCCCACCAAAAAATTTTACATGAAAAACGTATTTTGAGAATACGTTTTTCAATTAAATTAATTGAAAAACGTATTCTCAAAATACGTTTTTCATGTAAAATTTTTTGGTGGGCACTGCCCACCGTGGGCACTGCCCACCGTGGGCAGAGGATCAGATCTAATCATATATAATTAAGTTGGTAAAACAAAAGAAAAGAAAGAAAAGAAAAAGAAAGAAAAAAAAAAAAAGAGACAAAATGTTACTCATTGTTCATCATCAACATGGATTTAAGACATTTTAGCAGGCCTTGGGCTTCTGTTATAGTATTATTCAATCATACTAAAATTTAAAGGTTTGAAAATCGACCGGTCAAACTACTAGTTCAATGATTCATTAGTCCAATCAGTGCTTCAACGGGTTGGACAGATATTCAGTTTATTAATTCCATTTACATATATAATATTTTATAATAAAATTTATATATAAAACTTTGTTAATTAAAAATTAAAGCAATTTAAAACATTTAAATATTTAAACTAAATAATAATAACTTATGTATATCCAACATATTTAAATATGCTTATAATATATTATTTTTTAAAAAAATGGACCGGTTCAAACCGGTCGACCAAACCAGTTTTTGGCCGGTTCTGACCGGATGGCTAGTTCGCTGGTGATTTATCTGGCCCGACTTTTTAAACCATGCTAAAGCCAGATTAATACCATTTGATTTTGGGTGATTTGAATGAATATTTTACCAAGATTTTATAGATGAGAAGTGTAGCACCAGTTCTAGTACAGCTTTAGGATTTAGGAAAATAAACTAGTCTAAGTAGTAGGCTCATACGCTCGACCTACTTGATTAATTAGGTTGTGTTATTCCCGACAACTTTCGGTCATCGTTTGCTACTAATGAATTAAAACTCAACAACAAATATGGATTGCAGGTCCAATTCTAGCGTGATGAATCTAAATAAAATTAGACAATCATAGTTGATTAAAACAAAATAACACAATCAATTCCATATAAATACCTAAATAATCTCTCTCACTCTCATAAGTCGG